TGCCAGCCCCAAAAGGTGATGGACTTGCAAGTCTTCCTCAGGCCGAGCCCACGCCACAGCTGGGCGGGCGCGCGGGGGACGCCTGCCTCGGAGCTGCCCCCGCCGAGGCAGGGTGATTAAAAATGGAAGTTTAGGTTTTAATTTTTTTTCTTGCTTTTAGCAAGAGGGCTGAGAAAGGCAAGCGCTTACAGCTTTCGGGCATGATGTGGCTTGAGAGACCCTCTTGTTTTGCTTGCAATGATGGGAAGTTTCAAAACAGGCTAATTAATAGAAAAAGAGAACTTCGCTGGCCACGCTGTGTTGTAACAGTCCAACCAAGCTTTGTAGGTCGTGAGCCAGTAAAGCCTTGGAATTGCTCCTTTATGCGGTAGAGAAGAACTACTGTGCAGCCCACGGATGGATTCTGGTTAATATCATTAATCCTTCTACAGTCTCCGTGCCGTTTATGGGGCCATAGGAGCGCGCAGGCGAGCAGGTTACTGCCCTCCAGCCGCTTCCAGTGGGGCGTCGTGGAGAGGAGGAGCGGCTGGTGTGACCTGTGGGTTTCGGTGAAAGTCGGTGCGTGCGGAAGTGCTTTCACTGTGTGTCTCTGAAAACACGGACAAGGTCCAGCGCTACATATGTAGAAATATCCGGCTTTGCTAACAAGCCTCAGTATTTGTCTCAATATACACTTAATCTGGGCTCACGGGCTGGCGAACGGCACGTTGCGGTGACGCAGGGGTAGCAGTTCCCATGGCCTGGCCCCAGGCACGGCCCCCGCGCAGAGAGCGTGAGCGCGGCTGCCGTCTCGCCTTCCGCCGAGGAGCCTGCGGTGGAGGGCAGGATATCGCTGTGCAAGCATGCTTTAGGAATCCATATCATTTTCAAAATGGTATTAGATCTGTTAGAAGAGGCTCTTTGAACTCAGTGAGCCTACATGCATGAGTAAAGCGACATAGTTGCTTAAGCCTCTGTAAGCGCAGCATCTGGATCGCTTCAGGGTGTTCACGCTCAGACTTGATTCACTTGATGCAATAACATTTTGCAGATACACTTATCTGTATCCAGCCTGTGAATCAGCCCTGTGTGTGGAACTGTGGGTTTGCTTACGGTAGAGCGTCATAAATCCCCCCAAAAGCATGCTGACAGAAATGCTGACAAATCCGTAACTGCGCTGGTATTACCAGCTACCACGGCAATGCCCCGTGTGTCAGATAAAGCTGCTGCAAGTCCTTCCTTGCTGTGATCAAAGCACTGGGATTTCAAAGTGCAATTCTCTTAGTCGGACCAAGTAGTCTTTGAATATATTAACTTTAAACCTCCCTAAAAATACTGCCAGCTAATGTCTGGTCTGCCCACGTCTAGTTAGAGAGCTCACATGGCATGGTGATACTGATTTATAGAAATTGATCTTTTTTACCTCATTACTGGGCTATCCAGCAAATCTGTGCGTTGTTAACTCTTCAGTGCTGGAGAGCTGTATTCTTCCCTTTAATCAAATCAGTTTCTGCAGCTGGACGGGGCCAGGGCGGACTATTCCCATTGCGGGACTCAGCTACTAGACCGGGATGAGATACTTTAAAAACGGGTATTAAATTTCAAGAAGCTGCCACAGCAGTTTTGCAGATTAATATTAATCGATTCCAGTAGAGCTGGGCTCCACAGGCCCAAGTGTCCACTCCGCTTTCTTGAGCTCGTTGCGCGGTGCCCATGAGCTGTTGTGCAGCGGTGGAAGCAAATTGTGGCACGCAGCGCCTCGGAAAAGCACCCCCGAGTGTGCAATGAGGGCCTTGTTCACATCGAGATTAAGGCATCTTTCCTCTTGAGACTTTGAGGGCTGCTTTTCTTGAGTGCCAGCGTTGGAGTGTTTGCCTTAAAGCGCTGGGACCTGCCTGCTGTTCCCCCCCACCCCGCCGTCCCCAGCCCCAGCTGGTGCTGGAGGCACAGCACAGCAGCCCAGTTACCAAGATACGGGAGAAAAATCATAAGGTAATTTAGGAAAGTTTTTCCGTCGTCTTAAATTAGGGCATCTCTCAGGAAAAAAAGAGCTGCAGGTTGCACTGTGGAGCAAAGCCAGCCCCATGGCCATACCCTTGAGCGCCTCGTGCGCAGTCCCTGCGGCTCTGCTGGCCACAGGTGACAACCGAGCCCTGCCGCAACCCATCAGCGATACCAGTATTATGGCCCAGGTGTGTTTGTCTAACCAGGTTTTAAAGGTGTCTTGTGGCAGAAACACCATCGCCTTCCCAGCCGATCTGTTCCCATGCTTCACTGTTTGTGCTGCTAGAAACGTTTTCCCACTGCTGACCTGAATCTTTCTTGCTATAATTTAAAGCCCATTAACGCCCTGTGAACACACAGAACAAATTATTCCCTTCCCCTTCGCGACAGCCTCTCGTGTGCTTGGAAACTGCTCCCCCCCTCCTGCTCCCCTTCTCTTCCTCAGGCTAACCTCAGCGCGCTTGGGCTTTTCCAGTGCGTTTGCTCCTTTCCCCGGTGGTGTTTCTGGTTCCTGTGGCCACTCAGGCGCAGGGGTGGTGGGGAGCTGGGCCAGGCCGGGCGCGGGACTCCCAGCACCGTGGCGGCCCCACGAATTAGTCCGGCTCGTGAGCTCTGCTCCTGCGAATGCTTGTCTCTGTTGAGCAGCAGCCTTTAATTCTGGTCATGAGCTAGGTGGTGAGGCCGTTTGATAGACCAAAAAAAAAAAAAAACTTCCATATCAGCAGGGGGGAAAAAAAAAAATAGCTGTAGCACATTTTTCGTACTGTGAAAATCAGCTAGCGCAAATGAAGTGGGCTTCAGAAACCAGGCGGGTTCGTATTGTTTCTGAGCAGGCGCTTCAGGACGTTCTTCAGACTGCGACAGAGAAAACGCTGTTGAACACCTGAAAGCAGAACCTCACTGAGCTTTAGCTATGATTGCAAAGAAAACCTCTAGGTAGGAAAACACATTTGCTGTGCAATATCTTCGTTACTCGCACTGCCCCTCCTGGGTAAAATTGCTGCTGTTAGATATACAAAAGCTGTGCGATTTGCTGGCAGAATTGCAACTCACTTATCCTCTGCATATTTTTAACCGCTGAACTCAATTTCCTAGCACCGTTGCTGAGAGTTTGCTTTGAGAACTAATCGTATGCAGGGCTCTGCCTCGAGTCCCCCAGGTGTCCCTGTGTCTGCGGAAAGTTGGGTTAACACTGAATCTGCCTATTTTGTGTGTGCGAGACTGTGCAAGAGAGGATCGAGTGTGCCAGCGCACGTATTATCTTTCATTGCGGTCAGGCAGCAGGAGCAGCAGATGGCTGTAGAGCAACTGCTCAGCTGCCCGGGGAGCTGCCAGGCCGGCCATGCTGGCAGGGCATGGCCCCGCTGGGAAAGGAAGAGGTTAAAGGAAAATAAGCAGTGGTTATAAAATATTCCTCATCCGCTGGGAGGAACTGAGCCTTCTGCAGCATGTAGAACAGTCAGGCTTAAGGCCTGCCCCCAGGAAAGAAAAGACTTGCTGGAGCTTAACGTAATTTATATAGGGCAGAGCCCACAAATGTGGGCAGTGGCCTCTGGAAAGCCATTCTGTGACGGTCCTGTGTTGGCACTTCAGGAGCAAGGGCTTCACTTGGCCCGTAACTCCCCTTGACAGCTGTGCTCCCTGGAAAAATGCTGCTAATCAAATTCTGGAGCAAAACCCACACAGCAACTAGCAAAGTTGTGGCCGAGGCAAGTTTGTGGAGCTGGAAGGTGGTCTCAAACTCAGCCTTTTCGCAAACCTCACCATCATTAGAAGAAGAAAATAAAAAGCCGAGACCCTTTCTTCAGTTGAGCCTGCCCACAACCCACACTTCCAAACGCTAAGCAGGAGAGTGCAGCTGGTGTAACTTTGGGAACGTTGTCCCAGCTGGTGACTGCGATGGCTTTCAGCTCAGCTTCATGCTAGCGAAGGACCAAACACTGCCCTCAGTGACAGCATACGTCAGGCATCTAGCATGCAGGAAGCTGAAGCACAAACATGCACTACGCTCGTGTCCCGCAGCAGCTCGGCACCACCGCGGGGCCCAGCAAGAGTGCCCGGTGGGGCAAGCGCTCTGCAGCTTTCCCTCCGCCAGCTCCCTTGCTCAGACGTCTTACCAGAGGCAGCTCCATGGCCTGATGCGTCTCACACTGCGCAGGGACTGGCCTGTGCATCTGCTGCTGCTCGCAGCTCCAGGCTGTTTGATGGCAACAGAATTAATTATTCCTGACTCCTGCTCCTTTTGCTTGGGTCTGAATTTAGCCTATGAAACATGCCTCTGTGTTTGAATGCTGATGCATTCATGTAATTTCTCTTTCCAACTGTACCCACTGTGACAGAAGAACCATTTTTTTTCCCTCCCTTCCAAACAGCAATAGGTGCTGAAACAGTAAAAGATGAACCCTGAGATGCTTCTCATGAAACTGCCAGGTACATATTTGCTGTCCTGAGTAAATAGATCTGCTATTAGTAAAACAGGGAATCAAGGTACTATACGCGCAAGTTTGTTACCAAATTACAATTCACAATGATTTGAGAAAATAAAGGGTATTTACATACTCTAAGTGAGAGAGCAGAGTTGCTATATGGATGCCACCTGTTAAAATGAGAGTACACTGAATCCACTTCTGTTGGGATATATTTTTATTAAGGGTCAATAATAAACTCTAAAAAAAATTTGAATCATTTTTGTCACTATCTACCCAAAATAGAAACAGTCTATAAATGTAATGTAGTTGAATTTTAAAATAGGCAGGTTCCAGGCACAATGTAAATAACCACCATTTATAAGGTGCTTTCAGGTGATATAAATTCATGAGAGCAGGTATAAACATGTATTGATCTGCTCAGTGGAGAAATACAGCTCTGTATTACAGGGCTAGACCCCAGAAAACATAAATACAATATTTTGGCACTTTCTTTTATGCCAACAGTTCACTATAACTGGACGTATGAAAGACACTTAGCTTTTAAAAGCTATATTTAAACTTCCAGCTAAAAAGTAAACACCTCAGTAATTAGTACAGTAGTGTTTATTTCAAACTTGTTATCGGCTTTCCCATCCAGCATTGCCAAGCCCTTCCAAAGTGCACACTTTACAACGTAATGATAAATGGAGTATCCAAGCAGTTATTTGAGAGTGAGCTGTATGAGACAAGCAGCGTGTTAAAGGAATTTCTGGACAACGGAGGTAGTAATGAGAGAGCTTTTAAATTAAGCTAAGTTTTCTGGGCTGCTTTTATCACCATGGGTTTGGTTGAACTTTTAATGCACAAAGCCTATCTTCAGTTAGTTTTCCACTCTTTAAATTTGTTGGGATAGTATCACCTGCTGTGTAGTAACAACCAAAAGAATGTATGTTTCAATATAGTATTTTAGCTGTCCTCAGACACAGTGAAGACTCTAGAGTCTGTATTGCCTATTAACGTGAGCGTTTTTGGAGTATGATTTCCCATGCAAAAATAAGAATCTGCAGCTCCTGCAGAAATCAGCAGGACACTTACTTACCATATAAGAGATTTTGGACTGTGACAAGAACATAAAAAGACATACACACACAAAATCACACCGTTCTTTCATTCTGAAAGGAACAGTCTCCTACAATGTGCAAAATGAGACACGTACTGTGTTCCAATCAGTACGTCTGTTACTCTCAATTGGTTAGCTGTCCCATTCCCCATTGTTCTGATCATTGTTTTCCTCTTCTTCAGAATCAGCAGACACTTTCTTAATTCTCTGGATGACTGCCTTAATGCTTCTCTCCAGCTCATTACTGGATCCTTTACTGATATCTTTCTCAGTATCTCGATTCACTTTTCTTAGTTTAACTCCTTGCCTTATGGCAGAGAGGATGTCGTCTTTCACAGAGGCATAGGGATTTGGCTGTTCCACTTTGCGAAGAACACCTTCACCATGTTTTAGAGAAGCCAAAACCTCATCCATGGTTCCTGCAACAGATAAGTCAGTTGTTATCAGAAGAAAGAATAAGACAACCACACTTGGAGGGATGAAACTCCATCCATGTGCTCACAGTTCTTGCTTTCATATTTGCTGGAGACAGGAAAAGAGAATGGGCTGTTCTAGCACAGACTCTCACAAGCTTTTGCAGCGCCAGGTTCTGGAACTGAATAGTTAAAGCTTTTACACCTTATATTGAGAATCCAGCACCTCTTTACCATTACACAAAGTTGTGAGCTAAAGAAGAAATTATACACAAAGGAGGATGCTTCTTTTTCATTATGGCTTTATGTGCTTTCAAAAAAATATTACTGAACCAAAAATGTCTTTTATTCTATATTAGAAACAATCTACCATTCCTCCTAGCTTTCTCAGTTGCCTGCTGAGACTGTCAATTGCATTTTTGCTCAATGAAGAGAAAAATGAAATGATTTGAGTAGAAAGGCTTGAAACTGAACCACTGAGGTCAGTGGGAGTTAGATCAGGCTCTAAGCAGGTAGGCAGGCAGCTCTTTTCTGTATGGACTTAAAAAATAATTCCGATTTTACAACATGATTTAAATCTCAGGTGTATGTTTCTAAACTTCAGACCATAAAGGACACCATACTGAGAGCGCTTCTCCTGGCTCTCTCAGTACACATCATAATTTGTGTTTTATTCCTTTTGTTGGATTCTTTGTCACTAACTTCAGACTGTCAGACAGGGAAGTCAGCTTCCCTGGACAGCAGTCCGCAGCGACTCCTCCAGCCATAGGTCTAGGCCATCTGTGCTTCACAGCTAGAAGTATTTTTGTCATGGCCAGTGCGCAGAGGATCGTGCGATTAAAATCAAGAGTGAAAGTCTAACATTCTGCTAAATCCTGTAGTACCTTCAGAGATTGAGATGCCAGAAAAGGACTGAGACCAGATCCACAAACTGGTCTTACAAAGCTTTCCAGTAAACAAGTCTTAAGTGTATTAAACACATGTGCTGCCTGGTAAAAGACCAGTTAGACTAACAAATAATAGAAGTAGTTCCGCTTGAAAAGTATGATGATACCTTAGAGATAATATTTTCAGCATCAGAATATGAACCTCTTCTGGCTTTTCAGGTGCGAAGTCATAAGTAGCCCTTGTGTTACTGGAAACAACCTTTTTCGGAAGTTGTTTCAGCGAGTTCTTATGGCAATATTTTATTGATTACCATTATAGCAATTAACATGCTGGTTTTCTTCAGGGAATAGACATGTAAACAACCAGTTGGATCCCTCCGGTAAACAAAACAGAATTTTCCTTATCCAAAAATAAGGAAAGGACATCAATGTTTGCTGTGAATAACAGTAAACATTAGCTACTAACAAGGTAGCAATCAGACTGCCCGGTGTACAGTTCCTGTTGCTAATCAAAGCTTTTTATGAGTCTCTGTGTTAGTTATCCCATGGACCTCCTGGACTGAAGTCAGCACACTGATCTACCGGATGTGCAGCAGCCTGTCGTGGCAGCCTGACTGCGTCTCAGCCATTCAACTGCTTCTCCTTCCCCACCCCTTGGAAGCACTGAAGACATGAACTTTTCTACGTATTTCTACCTGCGGTTTGCCTCTTAACTGGGGAGTTACAAGGGCTGCTTAGAGGTATTATGAAGAGTCTGAAAAGGGAAAGGAATGTACCATATTTAAAGACCTGCTTCATTCTAACATAAGCTCTACTCTGAAAATTGACAATGAAAAATTGCTGCCTTTCCACTTAAATCAATCTCCCTGGCATAGTCAGAATATCTGCTTGCTTTAGAGATAAAAATAAGCCTGTTAGCAGGATGTAACCAGTGCAGGCTTAGGAAGTTGCTGAGCTCTATTCTCATCCAAACTGCAGTGTTTCAATTGCAGAGTTCAGCCTTCAATTACACCTCTATGATCTTGTTTATGCTAACAAAGTAAAGGTGTACCAGAGCAGAATTTTTGCCCCAGGAATGCAAGTATGCCAAAGCTATCCATCTGCCTTTCAAATCTTGGTAGAATTCTGCATGAATTCTAAGTAACTTTTATTTAGAAACTAAGTAAATTCTAGGTGGACACAGACTATGTGCACCTTGTAAATGTGTGTGGCCCAAACTGACGGCTCTGTAGTACGCAACACTGAGAGAATAACCTTAGTGCAAGCACAAATACACTCACAGTAGTCCTTCCAGCTGGACATGATTAATCCTCAAACAAAATGCTACATTCAGTTCAAAGGTGGCAAAACTGTTGCAAGAATAAACCTGGAAATAGAGGTTACTTCTCATCAGATAAAGCGACTAAACCCCAGCTCCTTGGAATCACTTCTGCCACCTTCCTCTCTTTTAAAACAGTGGGATTTTTGGTAACATGAGAAATGCATTCTCCACAGAACTATCAATGCTGTGATTAAGAATAGTTTAAACTAACTTGTAAGGCTGCTCTTAATGGACCAATCTAGAATTCTAGCACAGCAATTCAAGTCCAAATGTTCTAAAAAACTATTTACTTGGATGTCCAGCTTGACAGTGTTTCTCAAAACATGTTGAGTTACACACACTAAAAATCAGGGCCCTGTGAAGTATATCAAACTGGATACCCAAATCATTGTTATTCATTTAGTATCCTGACTTGTGGTCAGTGCTATTGTATGTGGTCTCTCAGACCAAGCTTTCTAAAAGCTTTGTTCTCTTGAGCAAGACTGCAGGACCATGTTAATGTCCAGAGTCAGAGGGAGGCAGAACTGAAAAATGCAAGAAAGGAAGAAAGAAAAACACCAGTTGATATAAGACCACTTACCTATGTAATTATTTACAGGCATCCTCAATGAGTCATCCTGTCTGTGCACTGCAGGGACCTCAGAGCTAAGGGGAAGTGGTTTATCCTCTATTGCTGATGGTGCCTTGAAGCGGAGAGGTAAAGGGGGAGGAGGAGGAGGAGGAGGAGGCGGGGGTGGAGGAGAGGGTGGTGATGCTAAGGATGGAGAGTCCATCAGCCCCTCGCTGTGCTTTTGTTGCTTTGAGTCACCAGCAGCCACAAAAATCCGGACAGGGATATCTGCTGGGGTATTCTGATGCGAAGCTTTAAGAACTTTGCCTTCTGCTTCTGCTAGCTGCATGCTCCTTGGCTGCTCCAGTTCTGGCCTCACTCTTGATGAAGGTGGAGGGGACAGTATTGAAGCCTGCTGGGTGATGCTTTGTGGCAGCTTGGGACTAAGAGGCTGGGGACGAGATGTTTTCAGCACAATTTGAGCTGGGCATTTCTGAAAAACAAAGGGTAAGGCAGGAAGTCACTTTGCCATTGGACTGGCAATAACAGCATCCCCAAAGAGACAAAAAGCCACAGAGAGCAGACTTGTACCACTCACCCACTCAAGCAGAAAATTCGATACTGAACAGAGTTAAAGGAATATCAAGGTATTTCTTTCAAAGTGATTTCCCCACTTCTGCTCTTTGGAACAGGCTCTGTACCTGGAAGCTATTTCCTTAGTGGATTCCTTCCACTCATTACACACAATCCTGTACTTCAGGCTACTCAAATGGTAGGCTCTGATCTGGACTACGCTCACATGTGAGCTACAGATACTTTTTGGCTTCCTGTTTTGAAACCACGTAAGATTACTGTACTTCACAATACTTGCCTCCCTGAATGTTTTCAGTCTCTCCAGTGTTTTCTGACGTTCTTGGCTTATCCAAGCTTTTTTCTTTTTCTCTTCCTCTTTTTGCTTGTCTCTTTTCTATATTAAAACACATGTAAGTGAGCATCTGTGCGTGAAAACAAGCTGCCAGCCTCTGCAAGGCTACTATTCAGTACTCACTATCTGTATGCTGTGATGCTGCTGGAAGCGTTTTTTGCTCTCTTCTGCCTGTTGCAGTCTCTGTCGATGGCTCGCTTCACATTGATCCTAGTGGAACAGCAACATTCATGCGACCCATGGTTAGTTCATGTTTACCGTGTGTGCAGTCTATGCCATTACCTCACGTGCAAAAGCCACTCTAGAGTGACCAACACTATATGCTTGGCTGTGCCAAAGAGGATGCCTAAGCACAGCAGGCGCCAGATGTGAGACCCTACACGTGAAGTCTGTACCCAGTACTCAGATCTGAACAGATCCCGCTGTCTTACGTTTAGGTTAAAAAAAAGTACCAACAGGCTCTGAAGAAATTTTACCCAGGTACCAGCTGGAGGGAATGGGTGCAAAGACATGAGAAAGAAGGGGAGAAAGAAGTTAGCAGGGCACTGCAGAAATACAGGGCTATTTTTCTTCTGCCCCTCATCTGCCATAGCTCCCACATACAAAGGGCAGGAAAGCAGAGGTATGTGAAACACAAGGAATGGCTAACAGGGATACCCTCTGTTAGCAACAAAGGGCCTCAGAGAAGTTGCAGGTTTCAGTATTTTCTCTGGGAGTCACCAGTTGTCACTGCACAGAGGGGGATTATCCACTTGGTTGGGTAAGCATTTGTAAATCATCTGCCATGTAGCTTTAGTGTTACATAACCGACAGACAGCAATTAAGTGAATGAAAATGGAAGCAGAGGAAGTATCTGCTGAGGAAGCAGTTGCAAGAGACAACAACTGTTCAAGAAACATTTCCAATGAGATTCCCATTTTGTCTGGCCTAGTGAGGGGTAGAAGGCCAGACAGACTTGGCTTAAACTCTACTCTCTGCCTCAGCAGGACTGCACAGGTGTAAGGCAAGCCTAGCTGACTGGGAAAGTCCACGAGAGTCAACTGTGGTCTCATTTATTTATTCCTAGTATTCTGCTCCAAATGGGAAGCCAAGATAAAAACTGTGCCTAGCACAGAACCGAGAGGCTGGAGAGAGAACTGCAGTAGTTAAACTTTCCCTCCCCTCTCATTCAAAGCTATAGTTAAGTATCACTGTGCGTGCTGTTCTGTCACTGCAGCTTCCTTCACTGCAGGCCAAGTTTTCTCCTGTGCTGCAGCTGCTTTATACCAGGCTGCCAGGGCAAAGCTCCAGCTGGCCACAGCATGGCTCTCCATGAGATTTAGCTGATAGGGAAAAACCTCCTGGGTTGCCCATGTAAGTCTGTGCTCCCTTAATACACTAGAGAAGTATTTGCACCACACAGTGGAGCATAAAGCTGGCTTAAAATCACATTGCCCCTCTTTCTGTTTTGTAGGCCTTGGCACCAAGTTGCATATCATCTTGTATGCTCCACCCAAAGCTTCCCTAGTTGTTTTCTGTCCATCCCTTGTGGGTCAAGACTTATGACATCAGTTAAAGAAGCTGCACGGCTCCAGGACTGCATTTACTTTTTTGTTCCTGAGGTAGGCTCTCCTCGCACAGACAGTTCCACGCTTTGTCTCCAACTGCTTAGTCTTCCGCCTCAGCTTCGTCATTTCTGACGAGTTAGCGTAATGTTGTCCCATTGTCTGTTCAATGACCTTGAGCTCCTCTGGATTTTCACATGTATCATAGTAAACAACTTCATCCTGTTTCTCTAAAAAGGCATTTGGCATTTAAAAAAAAAAAAAAACAAAAATTGCCACAATTATTTAAACATTTAAAGAAGTGAGGACGTTTTAAAAGCCACTGAAGGCAGCAGGTTAGTTATTAGAAAGGGTAACGCTTCAGAATCAAGCTTGGTCCTTCAAAGTCTTACGCAAACATATAATGCTACTCACAGGGGTGCTTTGCTGGATCAAACTTATGCTGTTAGCATTTGCTCTTACATAGCTTCCTCTTTCAAATGTCTTTCTGTGCTTTAACTCCTACCTTCACCAACTGGAGTTTTTCTGGAAAACTGTTTTGATCAGCACTGGATGATTTATTTTCCTATTTATCAGGTTTTAATTATGCAGCAAGCAAAAGCAGTGTTTACTTCACAGTATACTACACAGTAATAGAGAAATCATAAACCACAAATAAGCATAAACAAGACTGCTGCCTAATTTGGTCATAAATATGTTAAGAAGAGACAGTTGAACTGGAATACATTGGTACTCAAGTAGCACCTTGCTGTAATCACCTCTTTTGTCATTAACAGGATGTATTTTGCAGTTTTTACATATTAAATTACAATAGTTTTGTGATTAATTTTGGGACACTTTTCAGCAGGTTCCCTGAAGGAAACTTCAGTTTCCATACATAGATCCTGTAAGAGCAATAAAGTTCTGTAGCATAAAGTTATCCCACATGCCAAACCTCCGCATGCATATATCAAGCTACTGTCAAGAAAAGTCACCAGTGTGGCTTTTTTTTCCACCTGTGTTATCGAATTACTTGTAGAAGACAAAATATCAGATGCTGTCCCTGCACCAATGTTTTCCAGTGATGCTTTCTAGTATCAAGCCCTGAGTAGGAATAATATCCTTTTTTTTTTTTAAATACAAAAACAGAGAAGGCTATATCACTGCTGTGTTTTGGACATGTCATTAAATATCTGTCTATTCTTACCTTTAATCTGTCTCCTTAAAGTTTCCAATTGTACAATAAGAAGCATCTCTTCATGTTTCAATACTTCAAGCTGTACATTATATAATTCCAGTTGGGTTTCATAATAATCCATTTCCAGCTCCTCTGCTACTGTTAGGTTCTCTTCTTGTTCATCAAGGTTCTCCATCTAAACAGTCCCAAAGAAAACAAACATTAACAGCAAAATATGCATGAATAACAGTGCAACACCAAAGGAAGGGCAAGTCTCCCTCCTTCCCCTGTCCCCCGGCCCTTGAGTTCACCTTACACCGACTGTGCTGTTCACTGGACTCTGCTCAGCCAGTTCAGCTCACCAACCTGGCATGAAACTGGTTTCATTTTCTGCTTGCTTACTGATTTGAATCAGCTCATGGAGAGGTGTGACAAGAGCTAGAGCTGGGAAAAGTGAAATGGCAGGAACACACAGCCAGGAGCAGGACCTCTCCCAGTTTTTGCCAGCAGTAAACTGTGAGATGGGCACAAGCTGTCTCATGTAGCTTCTCCCTTAACCTTTGCATCAGGCTCTTAAAAGTTGGTGAGAGTCTGTCAAACAAGCTTTAGAGAGAGCGAGCTATCGGCAAGCTGCTATCCAAGAAGAAAATTAGGGGAGAAAAACCACTTTCCTCTCCACCTTCCTTCTCACCATGAAAATATAAAACCAACCAGGTGCTGTGAATTAGAAATATACTGGCTGGTCATTTACTAATTTCCTGTTCTACTGTAGATTTAATTTGTGAAAAGCTTCATTCAAAAAGAGGTATTGTCCACTAAGCATGGCATAGCACCACAACTATTTTTTAATTAAAAGGATATTTGTACCCTTTGTGATAAAGATATTATTAATGATAGTTGTTCGCTGTGCTGAAGCCGATCAGGGAAGACTTCATTATAACCTGCACAAAAAACACTGCTCCTAAAAACAATTACATATAGCGGAGTGCATTAGTCTTGGAAAATAAAAAATAGGTGCTCCTGGCAGCAGTTAGATGGCATCAAGTAAAAACGATCAGAATATTAAAATTAAGTAAATATCTTTCTTTTGCAGTGTTCTCTGAAAATAATATCTCAGTCGTTTATCTTCCTGAACTAATAGTTTTAAAGGTTAATACCATAAATGCTAACATGACACTTAACTGTAAAAATGTTTATGCTAAGCCTTCCTAAGTATCCTCATGTGTGCAGGAGCAATTTCAAAAAATGAGCGATATGCATTTTTTCATCATTTAAAATCATGTAGAAAAATAGTTAGTTCAAGCTTTCTGTTCGCTCGTTGAATTATAAATTGATTTCTTTCTCATAAACTGCCAAGAAACACTTCTTTTTAATTTTAAAAAATATTTTAAAATACCTGGGTCAGCTCTACAATTCTGTAAAATGCTTAGCACAGAACTTTGGTGCTTTGCTGAAAGATGCCTTCTGAGCCCTGTTTCACAAAGGCTTTAAAAGTCTCTCCATGCCTCTTCAGTGGCTTTTGATGAGCCCTTCACAAACCTGTGACAGAAAAGCATGTTTTGCAGGGATCTTACATTTTTCCAAATGCCAATTTTCTTCTGTTTCAGACACAGTTCCCTTGCCCGCAGATGCTGAAGGGTTTCTTTAGCTAACATATACTTCAGGTTTTCCAGTCTTGACAAAGCTGACGACCAGGTAGCTTGACCAAATCTTTTCTGATCTTGTTCCATCTGTTTGAGCATTGCTATAGATTAAAACATCACAGTAAGATATGAAAAATGCAGTGTCCTAATAACCCCTGTGTGTTCGTACTACAGCTGCAGTACTGAATAGGCTAATGCTATTAAAGCATTTCTGAAGCTTTTGAAATTATAAGACTGTAAAACTGAATTTATGGTTTTATAAATGGACTTAATCGTACCATGTAAACGAACGTTAACAATTACACAGCAATGTACTTCGTTAACACCCTGAAATCCTTGACGCTGTCACAGCAAGGGTTGAAGTTGTGCATGTTTTTTGCTTAGAGGTTTGCCGCCATAATTCTCAAGCCCTGATGACATCTGCATGTAAGCCAAATGCAAATTGTAAATCAAGCTAGTGAAAAGATATAAGTCCAGGTGAATAAAATACTCATTTCTTATGCTGGACACTCATCCTAACCTCAGGGTCTGCAGAGTGAGAACATCAAAGGTGATAAAAAGAGCTTTTTAAGCCCAAAGACAAGCATGAAACACAACCTTTTGTGTAAATTCACTGGGATTACCTGCCAGGGCCTTTACAGTTTCCTTGAAGTAGTTCACAGTGATATCCTGAATGGAGCACACAGCATCCTCCGCCCGCTTAGTCCATTCCTCAGCATCTTTCTGCAAAGCTGCTATTCTTTTAGGCCCCAGCTTATCATACTGTAAAGATTTCTGCAAGGAGACAAAATTCTCAGTTATCAACTGGTTTCTCTAGCGGTGCAGCCCACATTACACTATGCTGAGAGATGCTGCAAGTGAGGCAGAGCACAGTGGCAAACCTGACCTTCCCCTCACCCATCACAACGCAAGTCATGCCCATACCCTGCTCCCCATTCTCCAGGTTAATGCAGAACCTGTGTTCCCTCATCATGACTTAAACATTCACCTTGGATTAATTTATTTCTTAAAATATTTGTAAACCCTCGTCTTAAATATCATGTCCATCTGAAACGTTTCTCGTTGTTACTAAAAGTAATTCAGACACACTCTCCTAAGTGCAATGTTCTCGTCTATTTTTCCCATGTGTTGACAGCACATCACTGGCAGGTCCCCCTGTTTGGCAGTTCTTTCACACAGGAACAGGGATATAGAAAAGAAAGATAATATTTTCAAGCCCACAGAAAACTGATAGAGGGTACACAGGTACAAGACTAGTAACTGATTCTTCTTTTTTTTTTAAGACATAAATTTTAAATTAGCCTAAACTTCCTTTTAAGAGGTTATTTATACAGAAGAAAACTTTGAGTTACTTTAATTCATTACAGTTTTCACTTTAATTTTCAGTACAACATACTAGCTATTTTACCCTCACAGATTTAGACTTTCAGTACCGAAAAACCCTTGAGTCTTAAATTACAACTGTTCTGCTCTTTTCTACAACATTAACAGCTTGCTAGAATTTTAGCAGAGTAGTTAAGAGAAAATCAAAATAGCAGAGGGCTCTTTTCCAGGGGCATCATAGCTCTTCTAGACTATGGGCTTCCAGTCCAAGGTTCATGTAGAATTAAATGAACAAACTGACAAGTGATGTGCATTTGAGCTTGTACTTGCAGCAGGCTCGGGCAGTGACAGAAAACTGCTGTGCATGGTAAGATCACCTCTGCCTTCTCTTCTACCACCACAGCTGAGTTAAGTGCTACATCGGCATCGCTGTGAGATGGCATTCCCAATGGCACAGACTAATCTCATTGAAGATGGCCCTCCAGAGGTTACTGAGACCTCTGTAAATTCAGCCAACCAGAGAGTAAACCATGGACATGAGGAGTTTAGGGATGATTTTTTTTTTCTTTTAATACTTCCCACACTGGTGGGAAGCTGGCTGCGCTCAGCAGATGCAATCCTATTCAAGCCAATACTATGGCCTTTATTTCAGATCCCCTCAGGACAGATCTGCTGTAACTCTGAAACGTTCAGCCATGTTTGGTGGCTTGGCAGAAAAAAGGAAGTAGGTGAAGACAGAATTGGAGAGGCCAAAGATAATCAAGTGATTTGGGGTCTAAACTGCTCCACAAGCAGATGATATCCCACTACCTCGTTAGCCTTTGACTTCGTAAGGGCAGACCTACCAGGATTTCCAGTTTGTACAGGGTTGCCAGTTCACGCATATCTCTGAAAGGCTGCAGTAAAAACTGGTAGAATTGCGTTGCCATGGTAACCAAGTCCTGATAAGTTTTGTCTTCTTCTTCATAAACCTTCATCAAAGCCACCATTGTGTCAGCACTTTTATGCTGCTGAAGAACCTAGAAGGATAAAAGGTAAGCGTGATTTGGCTGCGCTTTGCATTTGTTGGCTGACTGCCGACCAGCTTTGGTGGAAAGAACTTGTCGTTTATCACCAGACGAAAGAGCCAAGGCTTCCCGTCACGCAGGAGAGTCGCTCCAAACACTCAGCAACCATCCCCAGCAGGAAATACCATTAGCGACGTACGCTTTAAGGGCACTAATTGCTGCATATTGCATTAGGAGACTGCATGAGGAATCATGCCTAGGGCCTTCCACAGCAAAAATGCTAATAGCTGTGCACAGCTGACTTTTTTACAAATACAGATGGTTCGCAGGAGAAGTCTGCATACTGTAAGGACGAGTAAGGCATCCTCAAACTATTCTTGCATCTCTTTCACAATTACTAAACGCCTTCTAATATGACATGAGTTTCCAGATCCAGAATTTTTGATTCCAGGCATGGAAAAATCGGACTTTCATTTAAAAATAAGAATTCAGAACCGGATTTCTACCCCGATATACCCTGCAGTTAAATTCCTTTAACATTTTTATAATTCATAATAGTTTATTCCAATCTCAGTCCTAGAAATATTACATTTTGTAACTTGTAATTCTTCCACGGAGCAACTGTCTCTTACTGATAGATCGGTATTCATTTACGGTATTTATTTACCCCTGCGATGAGAAATGAATTTGGAAACTTTTCTTCAATTTGTTTATTAACACCAATCAAAGTTTCAAAGATGTTTCTTTGCTAGCAGGTAACAGATAGCATGGTGTGATCTATGTGCCAGGACAGAGGCAGCTGAGGAACCAGAGGCAAGCTCCGGTGAGAAACACAGACCTTCCAGGAAGGATATAGTTTGTGCTGCAGCTCCTTAAGGGAAAGACGGAGGAAACAGAGGGTGCTCAGTGCTGTGAAAATGAGGAAAAAACACTTTGAAACACAGGCCTGATTATGTTGCAACCGAAAAGCACTAGGATGAAACCCTGCCCATTGCTCCTGCCATCCAAGCCTGGGTACAATAGCGGGAGCAAAGGTCCCAGCTGCAGGATTGCCGGGAAGGGCAGAGGAGTCGGCGCGAGGCCACGGCCTGCCTGCCCTCTCCCCAGCCCTGGCATGGGCGGGACGGGGGAACGCAAGGGCCTGAACTGCAATATGCCTGGTCATCCCAGGAGCCCGGGGCAGCTCAGACACTGTCCTGGGGTCCGACTGCAGCAATTGAACAGTCTGTTTTTTAACATTGTTCAAGCCAAGCAAAACATTTGTGCACTTTCTGGCTCTTATACTGAAACAAGAAGCAGGGGTCATGGTTACCACTGGAGGATGTTTATACTGGTGAGAGAGGAAGTAGTTGTGAAATTTTAGTCTACTTGTGAGAAAATCATTTGTCATAGTTTTTTTTTTGGAAAATCCTTGCATGTACACAATTTGCTATTCTTTTAGCAGAACTCCAGCTCACCATAAGCCAGAATGGTGGAGTGGCAGTACCGGTGGCAGTATTGTTTTGGGGTTTTTAGGACTGTTAACTTTGAACAAAAGACACAAAAAAAGGAAACATCTTCACATCACTCATCTCCTCTGTCTTACACTGGCAACTTCTGCACTCATACAAATGCATCTCCTTTTATCTCTAGTCATCTACCCCAGAGGATGAAGAATCTGAGGAAGACATGGCTTTAAACAGGAAAGAAAGATGCTTTGATATTTAAGGTTAGTTTGGAGCCAGAATACACAGGTTTCATTTCTGGCTTTGCTCTGTAGGTCTTGGGTAACCCGGCCTACGCTGCATATAAGGAACTTACGTTCTTGTGAGGCCCAGAAATACAACAGTACTGTTTAAACCATTCTTAGACATAGCTAATACATAGTTGATAAAAGCGGGAGAACTGGCACCAAGTTATACTTAACCATCAAATCCCAAACTGCCACATAGGTATTTACTCTTCTGCGCTGCTTACAAAAGAGCCCAAGGGCCAGAACGTATTTCTAATTGGCCCATGGACTGTCATAGTCACTCAGGTACAGAAACATTAACCTTTGTATCCAACACTGTGTATGAACTTCATGCAAACTGAAACTGTGTCTTTCTGAGAGGGAATCATGTTATGGCTGTTAAGCAACAAAGTAGAAAACACTAGGCTAAAGCCAATTGTCTCAATTTCTTCCCAAAGCAGCATCATTTTCATAAAATGCCTTTCAATAGGCTCTGCCAGGAGGTAGACTACAAAAAAGATTTAGCAGTAACAGCATTGGTGATCTTAAACGGCCTTTAAACCTTAGGTTAACACAGCAATGTCCTAATGCACTAGTTACCAGCCTTGAAACGGAGTGCTTAATACAAGAGAAAAAAAATCCAGTTAAGACACCTAGAGCAAGCAGGAACTACAATAACAAAGACAGAAAGGGTTAGTGTTATAATTATTCATTCTTTGGGCCAGAATTTGACACTTTGAAAAAACACATTTTTCTGACTACAAAGCGCCTATTTGGCATGGCTGTATGGACTGGCTTGGTTTAATTAAACAACTTTTGACAGAGCATGCCCCAGTTATTGGCGTCACTGCCAGAAGGCAGCCTGAGCCCTTCACAGGGGAGTTATTTGTACTCTCCTTCCCGGCTGCTATTCCACTCAGTGTGCAAGGCCGCCGGGTATTTTTAGCGACGTGTTTTCGCAGGAGCGCTCGCAGCTTAGGTAAGTGCCCCAGTGTCTTACACTTATGGCCCACAAGGAGCTCGCTAACTCCCCGCTTAATAAAGCCAGGCTTGCAAAGCCCGATGGGGCTCGATGCGCGAGCTCGCCGACGCGGCAGTCTCCGAACCACCCCAGAAGCTCTGGCGCGAGCACTAACCCAAATATCGGCCACAACCACGCGCGGGCCGGGCTGCGGCTCGCCACCTG